CCTCACTACTCAACCTCAAAGGACAATCTGTCTGGAGGGTGAAAACCCTTCAAAACTGTTTCTCACTTGAGTCTGCCAATTTTTTCATGCATACAAGCCTACATCTAGGTTCTCTCTTTGGGGGCTATGACAAGTGAGCTCAAGTTCTCTTTACACTGGGTACCTTTTTCTGGGTGAGCACCTTCAGCCTAAAGCTAATAAAAAGGCAACAAATAATATAGGGAGTGCAATAACCTCCACGGCATCATCAGGACAAGTCTAATTCTGTTTTGACAGACTTGAGTGACAGCTCTGTCACTGGTGCCAAGAAGATTAAACTGAATGATGATTCAGATGAGTCAAATTTGTTGAATTTGTTTATAAATATCTAATATAGCAGCTGCCTCTTGAGTTTCCACAAGGAGTGAATGTTCTACTTCTCACAAAATTTTAGGCTTGGTCTTAAAAGCTGGCTGCATGTTGCTCAATTTGAAAGACAGACAGGCAGAATGAAAAAATGACTTGTCCAAACTGAGCTGATGTCTAATGCAAGTCTGTCACCTGGACTCCTGATACACAGTAAAGGGAACAGGTTCCTCCAGGATCTATAGCCCAAATGCCTAAGATTATTGGTTGGGTAGGCATTTTTGCTGAAAATTCTGGAATTCAGAAGCTATGCAAACAAAAGTAAAAGAAAAAATATGACAAGGGAAAAAATCCTGCTGAAAATTTATCTTTCAAAGAGACTAAAATCAGAAAAGTGCTCTGAGTAATCAGAGTGTAGAGAATAGTGAAGAGGAGGGAGTTTGAGGCAAGCTAGTATAGTTGAGGTTGAACTTCAGAGACAGTTCGCCTACTTAAGATTACAGCACACAGCATGTTCCAGTGACTTTCTGACATTTCATCTATCTTACTGTATGATCGGCTTCCAGATCTAGCCTTCTAAAACTCCCACTTCTGTCTCTACTTGTCTTTCACTTCCCTCCCTATTTGATGCATTTAAAGTTCTCCAGAGTGTTTCAGGAGGCAAAAGCCACCAGAGCAACTGACTGACATACTGGTTATCTGGATTTTAATATCAAAATATAGCAGTTCTGTGGACTAGTACATTTCTGATCAGACTTTTTTTTTGTTTCAGATCCACTTGCATATGGCAAACGTTCCTGCTAGTATACTGAAAAGAATATAGATGTTTTATTTTGTTGAAACAGTGAAATGCATTATTACCTCAAAGTCTTATGTAAACTTCTTCTAATAACAACACCACTACATTAAAATATATGAATAGAACTACAGATTTTAGGTGATATCCACTAACAGCATGGTTTCTCCCTGGAATAAGGAGGACTTTCCTTAATGCCTTAAATATGCTGATATTTATTGATACTTTTTACTTTAGACTACAGGAAAAGGCAAAAAATATTACATCTGCCTACCAAAAGAGATATCCCTCTGATGATATCTAGTTTTGGTTGTTAGGGGGAAGCAAAGAACAACACTTGCAACCTCTCTGTCTCACTCTGGACTCAGGTAACATTCTCAAGATTTTGCTGCTTAGATTGCTGAAACCAGCACAATTGATCACTACTGAATGATCTGCTCCTGTATCTAAAACATGTCAGACTACTGTTTTCTTCATGGAAAGCAGGATATAAGTCCTATAGAAAACATTGTTTATTTGTTGATACCCATAACAATCCCCATAATTTTCAGGAAGATTTTCAGCAGCCTATTTCCTAGGAAATATATTGAATGGCTTCAGTTTTGAGAGTGCATTGATCACAGTTCTGTAGATTTTTTCATGGGCTCTCCATCTCAATAGGTTTTAATATATAACATTGTTTCCCACTTCAAAGGCTACTTTTAGGCATAAGGGGCTATTTACCCAAGGACTGACAATGGTTCCCCAAGACAGGTAAAAAAATACACTCCATGTTTTGAACGAGGGTTTTTCATTGCACTCATGAATACTGCAACTGTAGAGAGGTTCCTCTGCTATAATCTGCATCCACAGAAGCTGGAACAGTCCACTGTAAATTGACGTTTAACTGGAAAAAAGACAAAAATTTCAGTCTCATCTGGCTTCTGCTGGCACAGAAGAGACTTGATAACTCCATTTCCACTAAATTCCTTCAGCATCTTCACTCAGATTTTCCCAGGAAGACAGCAAGAATAAGCTAAGAGCAGCAGTTTTTATCATAAAATGAAACCTTTAGAAAAGTGAGTATTTGTAAAATGCTTATAGCCAATGTTATAACAAAATGCAATATATTTATATTACTTTCTTGCTACAAAGTATCATCAGGATAGAAGATGGATTTTTTTGTGTGTATTTTCTAACTTCCACACAACGTATATCTCATAATTCAATTCTCAAACTGATCTCTGCCATTTTTACAACTATTTAATTTTAAACTGCTAAAGCATTTTATTCCTGCTATGAAATCTCACACACTCCTGAGCAATGGGCTAAGAAGTAGGGAGAGAGATTTCTGACCATCAGAGATATGATTAATTGAACAAATGGCACCAATTATGTTATGTCTGTCTTTAATCTAACCTAACACACATGAGACTTGTATACAGCAGAATTCCCAATACCTGCTTCAGCCAAGAGAACCCTGATATATCTGAAGAATGAAGTTTTCCTTGTTGTAGACAAAATGAATATGCTTGTTTAGGCTATAAAGGTGAGAAAGAATGAAAAGATTACATTCCCAGTGCCTGAGAAAAGAAAGCTCAGCACTGCACAACCTGGCAAAGAGCTTTCCCTGATAAAAATAGGAATGCTTTTGATGTGTTAGAGGTATTCTTGGGTTTCTTGAATTTATGTGTCTTTAAATCCTTTCCAGAGTTAGTCTATATTGAAATAGCTTCACAAAAAGCTACAAATTTCAAACATTCTTAATATATTATCATCATTATACGATTAAAACCTCCATATGTTATATAGTCAACTATATAGTCAAGATACTAAGATATCTGTCTGATAACAAAAAAGAATATGAGAAAACTGAGGTTAAAGATCAGATTAATTCTAGGAAGTAGTGTGAAGAACTAAAATGTGTCAACATTGTCTGAGAAAATACAGCAAAAACAAGCCTGGAGAATATTTTTGCATAGTCTGAAGTCATAGTGTCTCAGTCACATCATATTTTTTCCAAAAACATCCAGACACAAGTAACCCAGAGAAACTAAAGACAATTTAGGAAGTACCCTAAGGTGACAAGAGTTAGACACCAGGACACTGCCCAGAGGAAACACTACTCTTAGAATATTAGAATATCCTGAGTTGGAAGGGACCTGCAGGGATAATTGAGATCCAACTCTTGGTCCTGCACAAAAATTCCAGCGTGTGCCTGGGAGTATTGTCCAAATGCTTTGTGAACTCTGGCAGGCTTGGTGCTGTGACTTCTTCCCTGGGGAGTCTGTGCCAGTGTTCTCCTACTTCTTCCCATTGCAGAGGGGAAAATGGGTGAGACCAATCTAATTCTGAATTTCAAAATAACCTATTACAACCATGCAGGTTACTAGCATTTGAGGTGATGCGCTGGCTTCCCTGCAGCCAGTGTAAGCCTTGTAAGGCTGGCTGTTAAAGGCACCCTCAGTGCTTTTCTAGAAAACAGAACTGTGATCCTGTCAGCTGTTGAACCTGCAAATGGGAGCACTCAATGGTACTTGCTGCTCCCTATCTGTGGAGGGCATTAGTAAAGCTCATTGTGGAAGGGAAGTCATAAATACCCTTTCAAATTTACAGCATGTGGCAAAAGATGCCACTCTTGAACTGAAACTGTTAGCATAAATATTGTCCTCTGCATCAGGGCTAAGTGGTTATTAATTGCTGCTAAAAGTGCACTTGGAGCAGACCTGTCACGGTGCTGTCTCTAACCATGAGCACAGCAAGGGCAATGGAAAATGGCTTCCCAACCCCACGTTCCTTACAATGTCAGCTTGATCCCAGCTTCCAGCCTCCTACCTGCTGTCAGCAGCACCCCTGCTCCTGCTCAGAAGGTGGCAGGTGAGGGACTGCAGCCAGTGAAAGCTACCCTTCAGAGCAAAGGCTTTGGGAACTCCAGTATTGCCAGGAATACATCTAGGCATTGATGCCGTGCCCTACAGCTAGGAAAACTATTCAAAACAATGTAAGTAGCAGGCCACTGCACAGTAGCCAACATATTCATTCCATCAAAAACAAATTAGAGTTTTTGTATTCGAGTAGCATAAAGCAACTGAAGCGTGCAAGAGAACTCAAGCTAAATTAGAGGGAAATAATATGTTACTTCAAACAAAATTAATTTCTCAGACTTCCAGTAAAACCTGAACTATGCACGCTACAATTGAAGGAAATTTTATTTACCCTCAAACATTTTCAAAACCAGGACATTTTCTTAAAAGACAAAATTTAACGCAAAATGTTGTATCATTGGGATTATAAATACAAGTGAAAACACGAGAAAACAAGTGAAATTTACAAATGAAAACATATTTCAATTGAAAGCAATACACTTGAATACAAATGTTGAATAATTATGTGGAAGATGTTATGGTAAAATACACCCACGGATAGTTAAACAATTTATTCCAATACCTTGCATGATATGAAAAATTTCTTTTCCTACCACTATAAGGCATGGTATCTCAAATATAACCACTTAAGTACTTTTTTTAAATACCTGCGTCACTTATAGAAACAAAACAGAATTATTTTGCCTTAAAAATTAAGGCCTACATCCTACTACCAAGAACAGTAGTTTAGGATTTTTTTTCCCCATAAATCAAGTGCAACTATTCATATACACTTAATTTAACAATATATTTAATCTAATTTTCTATGCAGACATGTGAAAATAAAACGCTGTACGTTTGAATGGACTGCTACCAAGTTTCCTACTTGGAACTGCAGCATTACAGTTCACGCACAAACAGCTTTGACCTATGCACCCTAAGAGCAAAAGCAGCTATAAGCTCACCTGGCTCCTAGTCAAAGTTTTTAAACAGGAATATTTTCAAAATATTCTTACCTCTTCCTTTGTCTTTTTTGATATGACCCTTAGCCAGTCTCCAATCATGCTGAGGACAGCTGCAAAGTAAGCCAGTCCAACAAGGATCCAGAACCACACCACTGGCTTATAAAAATCTAGGTATTCAATATCTGATCCCCCTGAAAAACAATACAGTAAAAATTAATTCACACTTAATAGCTATAGGTGCAAAGATGTTTTTAAATTCATTTTCCTAGAAAACAAAGTTAAGTTTCTTACACCTTCTGTATTTTTACCCATGCAAATATTTTTTTTTATTTGAACAAATTATATAAATTATTTCACGCTTAAAAATAATGTCTGGAGTTGGCAAATTTTAGACGACACTGAAGATAGCTTAAATGAAATTACTTGCCACCTGCTCCAAAAGACAGGGCTGTACCAGAGTTTTTTGTATTGTTCCAAAGAATGCAATGTGTTCATATCCTGACAAAACTGTTTTTGCAAGAATTTTATAACGTCTCAATACTTAAATAAAATCTTTACACTCAGTAAAGAAAGAGTAGCACCTGCATTAACAAGTGTCCCTGGTGGGTAGGCAAACATTATCTTCTCCATTCTGCAGAAGGAAACCAGAGTGCAGGGACTTGAGTTGAACTGATCACAACCCCCCTACCCCAACCCTAGCAAAAAAAAAAAAAAAAAGGTGGATAAAAGAAGTATGCTGAAGGCAGGTTTTTTGAATCCCACTGCCATAAGCACCAGTCATTTCTTTTCAGTGTTAAAGTATAAAAAAAGTATAAATTTCAGAGGTGTCTGTAATAGAGGTTTCAGGTATAATGCAGCTATGAGGAACAGATGTCTTATTTCCACACAAAAATAAGTTATGTTCATCCAGAGCTCCTGACAGCACCAAATTACTCATATTTCACATTTGCCATGCAATAAAACAGAAGACATAAACTTGTAATTCAGCTGTGTTACAACAAATAAAACCAGACTTCTAGTTTTGGCTGCTGCAAGAAGTTTGATGTGTGTATCTCCCCATAACTGGAGAGACTCTGCAGTAAAACCTTCTCAGACACATTAAAGTAGCCTGTACAGGTACATAGTCCATTGCTTTATGTATCTGCCTTCTATACTGAAGCAAATCAAAGGAAAATTGCCCCCAAAATATCAAGCACTTTGTTATGGTACTGAGATTGACTCTCATAGAGAATAATGTTTTTATTTAGATTTATTATGACTGGGATTACATGCAAATAACAAAGAATTTTACTGATGGCTAGCTTTGTATGGAACCCCTCCCAGACAGAAATTATTTTCATGTCAATTACATCTTTTCATAAAAAAAATAAAAAAGCATTGAGCTGCAATGGTTTGCTCAGCCATCCAAGAGATGAATCCACATTGTGAAAGCAGATATCCCTTGATGTCTTTGTAGTCCCAAGCAGAGGCAGAAGACAGGGCTCTCTTTAGAACAGAAGACATCCAGCCACCAAAGGGTCTGAGTTTTTCACATCACAAGATAAACAAAACACCAAATCATTTCTCAACAACATTCATCTCATGTCAATCTAGTAAAACAGTATTTTAGGGATGATTTGCCCAAAATTTATTGCAATTCAGAAAATGGTTGATTACCACTATGTCTCTGCTATAGTAATGGGCCACTCTTGGTGGTTCATTCTCTTCAGCTGTTCATACAATGCACAACATAGTATCACAGAAAGCATCCACATGGTTGGTTTTTAATTTCTGGCATATGATGTTTATAAACTGAAACTGGAACCTAACTCTGCCAGTCTGCAGGAAGCACTTCCCTCACAGTTCATAATTATTTTATTCACAGCAAAGTTAATCACCGGGGCAAAATTTAGGACATATTCCTCTTCAACCAAGTTTTCTGTGCTGTCTGGCCAGGAGATGGCTCCATCTAGCCATGCCCAAGGAAGATCAGCTCTCCTGAAGCTAAAGGGACAACAGGTATCCAAGAAGAAATAAAGAACTAAAGAAATAAATACTCTAGAGTAAGGCTTCAAAGCTAGAACCTTTATAAGCTGTTCAGCTTCTCAATTTCAAGGACTCCTTGGATGATTTTGCAATTTAATCAAATCTCAAGGGAGAGAGAGACATACCTGAGGATGTTTGTCCTGACATAACTCTCTTGTGATGCTCAAACTGTCATAATGAAATTACCTGGGAATGCCATTAAATAGGATTTCATAGAGAAATGTGATCACAATTCAACTGAATTTAAACTACAAGAATTCATCAACTACAAAATTCACTTAAATGGATATGAATGCATTTGGGTATGAGTATGCATAGCTAAATATACTTGCACTGAAGTATATGAGATAATCTAATGATTTTACGGGCAACATCATAAAAAGCATATCAATATGATACACTATCATGTTTCTTTTGCAAAGCAAATTGGTTCATGCAGCCCTCTAGGAAGCAAAATGCTGAGAAGGCAGAAGATGAAGTTGCTTGTTTGGCAAACCCAGTTTTGTGGGCTGAGGGACAAAGCTTTTCCCAGCTTTCTTTAGCTTCTACCCAAAATGGGTTAAAACCACAAGGAACAAGAAAACTAGCAATCTCACTGCCATAATCTGTTACCAAGAGCAGCAACAGTTTATAGCCAAGATGTTTTCTGGTAAAGATTTGATCTAAAGTTGCTTGAAGACTATGAGAAAAAGTTTTCCCATCCATCATCATCACAGGCTATTGTATTGCTGCTGTCATCATTCTTACATCTGCCAAATAAATTTTATTTGGGATTTTCAACACTTTGGAAAACATAAGTTGTTCTATGGCCCAAACGTATTCCTTACTAAGGTCAAGAACTCTGTTTCAGTGAAGAAAGACATTAGTGAATATCTCAGGCATGCTTTAGGACAGATTCTGATTCTCAGGTCAGAGATCAGGGTTACAAGTATATAAATTTTTATTTATTTATTTATGTAAAACAAGCTCTTTGAAAGCAAATAATTGTCTTCATTGTTGTCACTCTTTCTCCCCATTCTTTCTACAGTAACTGGCTCAAAATAGAAACATGTAATTATTTCTATAAAATTGGTTGGCTTTGCATTTTTACTTCAAAATTAGAAGGAGAGAATAGAAAGTGCTGTCAACATTGAGTATCTTAGTTCCACACCAGCAAAAATTTATGGGTTATTTAAAAGTTGGCACTGCAAACAAGGAAATGTCTATAATTTTTCATCAGCAGTAAAAATTACTCTGGATATAGAAAAATTATATAATCCAATTTTAATTGCAGAATAACAAGTAGCTGTCCACCATCCCTGTTGTGACAAACATGTTTAATCCAGAAATGCAATTTGTCCCACTTCAAAGACTCATGGAGGTTCAGCCCTGCAGCTTGAAAGGAACTACCTCTGAGGACTGCAAAAAAAAGGGGGGGACAGAGAAAGACCAGTTCGTGTGGCAACGTGGAAGCGCAGAAGGCTGGGGCCAAGATGCACTGTCAGAGATGGAATGTAAGTAGGCCAGAGAAGCCACTTGATGCCACTCAATGGAAAATGGAGAGCTACTTCAGAAAACAAAGCACAGATCTAAAACACTCCTCACATGCTGTCCTGCACAGACATCAAACAAGCCAGTGCTCCGTCTTCAGCTTAAAGCTCAGTTCACAGCAGAGAGCCCCGACTATGGACACTGAGTCCCGAGAGGGCAAAGAGCTCTTCTAAATGCCAAAAAAGGACTCAGAGCCTGTGGGAGGGCACAGAGCTCTCCTCCAGGATGCTGGACATGCCTCTGTCTCAGCATGACAGCAATTTCTCTCTGCTGGTGCGTGGTATCACACAGTGACAGCAGATCAACTGGGCTGCTATGACCATCAGGTCAAGTGCCCCAGGTCAGTGACATTAAATGAAACTAAAATATCTCATTTCTGTACAAACTGGGTCTCAGGCCAAGCAACACAGTGCAGAGCCAGGTATGTGTATCACAGTGGCAATACATCAGAGTTGATTACATAATGAAAGAGTGAAAAAGCAGTAAATTAAAAATCAGGGTTTAAACATGGAAAATAAATCAAGCCAAAAAAACCCCAAACTCTCACAAAAGTAATGAGAGTTGCAATAAATTTTTAAAGTAACTTTTTCAGAATTCTGTGATCTGTTTCACTGAACCAGTTGAGTCAATCTTATATCATCATTACACTCCACTGTGAAACAGACTACTGATATGCTATTTATATTTTTGCCCTCTACTTAATTTAGTCAAGTTTTGGACATGTCACCTAATTTAGCTTTGAAACCTGTTAGATTGATGCCATTAGAAATATTTGAATATACTTTCCAAACTACACTGCAAGTTAAAGAATTTATCTGTACATGTGAACAATATATTGCCAATTATACTGATATATTCACGAGCCTCAGTGCAAACTTTAGTACCCAGAAGTATATTTCATTGTACTGAAATCATGACACATTCAACATGAGAAGATTTCTTTTTCTCTTTCACAAGATATTAATAGTTTTGTTTGGGTTTTCTTCTGTCATATTAAAGTCAATGTTTTCTCTTGAAAATCAGAAAAGGGATGTTTGACTATGTCCTGATATTCATAAGGCAGTGCAGGCTGTAGTACAGTTTTTCTTCTTTTTTTGCAAAAAAGCTACAATAATCCTTCCTCAAATATAAAAAAAAAAAATTCTCTCCCTCCAAAAAAATTGAACAATTCCAAGAATTTGAAAAATCAAGTAATTTCATGAGATGGAGAAGCAGTCAATTTTTTGGAATACTGTTCATATATTTTCTTGAACATGAATTGCAAGGGCTTTTCATCTTTTCCTTCCTTGCATGCACCAGGACAGATCAGTCTATTATGTTTTCCTTCAGGCTTTTCTTACTGATGGAAACTCCAGCTGAAGTTTCCACAGGCTCCAAACAACACCTTAGACTCTGACTAAAAAAGGGAACATTTCCTTATTCTGGTTTCTGCAGAATACATGGTCTGCAGGACAAAAAAGAAAGTTAAAAAAAAATCCTGGAGAACTAAAAGAATTTCTTACATAACAGCCTGTACTACAGTTAATGATACCATTACATGTTCAGCTATTGGTTCCCTTTTGGTACAGCTGTTGAGTAACACTCTGTTCTTTACCTCCTGAAAGTTCTTCAGGGCTTCTTTACAGCTCTTACTTGCAGTGGCGTCAGAAAGCAAAGTTTCATGTTAGTGAAAAATGATAGGTATTTTGGAAATTTTTCCCCATGCACCAAGACAAATGTCAACACAACCATGGGATTATGTGGGGCTTGTAAAATTATGTCTTTTTTCTCTGAGATGGCAGTTCCCAGAAAAAAATATTTGAAATTTTTCAAATATAAAGGAATTTGAGTGTTTTGAAGGAACTTTATGGGCCAAAACTGACACACATATATGGATTATCATGTGGGCCTCCAGAGTGCTAAAAGAATTATCAATTTGACTTTTACTGCAAGAAGTACACTCCGATATAATTGCAAATCAGACCATCACTGCCCACCATTATGCTTTAAGTTTGACTATAATGATAAGTGGAAGAAGGAAATTTTCACTGCAAGTATTTTTTAAGGAAAAAAAGTCAGAAAAATGAATAAATTAATGGCAGTGTAAGTTTTTCAAAATGTGCGGCATCTAGGCACCAAATAGACTGAAGCATCATTCTGTCTGCTGGTTTTTGCCACACTATGGCAAACCAGAACCAAGACCAGCATGCTCTAGAACCACAATTTCTATTATGACTACCTCTTTTACAGCCTTATACAAAATTACAGGTCTTAACTCTTTGTATTTCTCCCTTGTTTGTGACACTCAGTTTTCCTAAACTTCAACAAGAGTTCTCCAGACAAAACCCCAAAACCACAAAAATATCAGTGGCCCTTAGTGTCCACTCTGTAGTTATGACTTACCTAAAAAAGAAACAAGCAAACCAAAAAATCATGAAAAAAGGTATGAATTTGTTGGGGTGAAAAAAATTTCTGCATGCTTCCTCAAAATTAATAAGGAAGCCTAGCTCTTAAGAATAATTTTATCAGCTCTATTGAGAATTGCAATGTCATTTTCCTTCAAATAATTTTGTACTTATATACACACTAATGGCTGAAAACTTCCACAATGCAAAGCAAAATCAATTAATACCTTACCTATTTTACAAAATTTTTATTTAACTAGCCAATTATGTACTGCAAAGAAAACACATTTTTGAAAAATCCTTCAAGTCACCAGCCAAAATCAGAGTATTTAGTTCACCCAAAGATATTATTGACTTCATCCCTGTCAGAATATAGTCCCATGGGAATGTTAACCTCCCAGCTGTGATGGAGACAGCCATTTAATCCTGTTCTCTTGAGCATTGTCTCTGCAAGTACAAATCCCACTGCCCCTTTAAGTCAATAACATATTGCAGTTCAAATACAAGTCTTATGCATGTTGCTCAAAGAAGCTAGACAACATTTCTGATGCTTTGAAATAATGGACTTACAGTAGGATTTGAAATTAAATAAAGAACATCTTTCAAGTGAACCATAAAAGGCCATCAGCTATAGAACAACATAGTTCAAGGACATTCTGTAGAAAGAGAAAGTGTTTCCTGGTAGAATTAAAAAGCAGACAATGTAGGAAAAAAAATATGAAATGATCTACAAATAGAAAAGTCTATGGAAATTTATAATGGGAGTAATGATGAATGTACTCAGTGTTCTACTTAGAGCCAAGTGGGCCATTTCACATAATGCTTTACAGTAAATAAAACCAGGTCTTTATACACTATCATTTTTATTCCCTGTCACACACATACCCTTCAGGAATGAAAGTCTAAAACACCCAGATTCTTAACTTAGAAACAGCATAAATTTTTTATTTAATGCTAGTTGTTATCTGACCAGAATCACAAATTCTGAAGACAAAACGAAAATAAGAAAAAGAATATGGGAAAGAAAATGGAAAGGCAGAAGTCAAGACACATACAAAGACATTTGAAAACATCACAAATAACTATGTAAAAGTCAAAAGAAATTTGATTTGCTATTTTACAGCTCAGTTCTGTAGTTTACAGGAATCTTTCACAAGTTTGTAAGCAGTCTAAAAATGAAGGCTGCCTGAGTAGCTTAGTATCTTCAACAACTAAATTTATCCCCATTTTATCCACATAATTTACAAACGTATCAAGCAGTTCTGACATTTTAGAGGTCCTTGTTGGACCTCATCAACCTGAAAAATCTCTGCCAGTGACAAGGCCCTTTACTGCCATCAAGGCAAAACTTCAGAGACACCTACAAGAGGAGTTACCCAGCCTGAGAACCTCAGCTTGGCACACTTGGACTCACACAACTGCCATGGGCACAGACAAGACACAGGAGGAGCCCAGAGCATATGAGTGTCTACTAAAAACAATTTCCTCCAGCAGAGCCTCTCACTGAGAGCAGACCAGCACAAAAGGACTTGTGAGCCACCTCTGCCTTGCACTGAGTTCAGAGGTGGGAGAGAGGCATTTCATGAGAGAAATGATGGTTCTGTATCAGCAGATGCCAAGGAAAGCAAGTCTCAGGTTTGGACCACAAAGCTCTGAGTTTCTCATCCTCACCTCTACACATCACTGACTTGCATCAACATGCTTTCTCAGCACAAACAGCATTCCTTACACAAATCTAAGAGGTGAACTAACACCCCTGACATCTTCTCAAGAAAAAAGTTGACACAGAGAACTAGCCCAGACTTTTTTTTAGCTCAGTATATCGAAGTGATTTACAAATCATCTTAATGGAACCATAAGAATTGGACACATTATCTATGGGTTGTGCTAGAACTTCTCCTGACATTACAAAAAGCACATGGGCAAATGTGTACTGACAAAGAGTCACAGAGTAGGATGCAGCAGATCCTACAGAATACAGACATTTCAATGGCAGAAAGAGAGCTTTGGAATATTTTGAAAGTAATGGATACACACAATATCACTTCACAGGGTGAGGCATTTCAAACAAGCCCGGCTGAAAAACGTATTCAGATTAAAACACTCAATTAGTGTTTGCTCTTTGCAACCTGTAAGAAAAATAAAACAAAACCCTTACCTAAATGATACTCTACTTAATTTTTAATAGGATAGGAAGAGGAAAAAGCAGTAGGCAGAGAAATGCACCACGAATTTCAGTGTCCCACCTCCTATCTCTATGCTGTCACATCAATCAAAATGAGGACAGGCCCCATCACATGAATCATGAAGGATAAAACTGGGAGAGAGGTACCACAAGAGAGTTACATCTGTCCCAAAACAAAGAAAAAAAATGCAGAATAAATATCAATGTGCAAAACATTATAAGATAAAGAGTTATGAAAAACATCTTACCTGCAACATAGTCACCAAATCCAATGGTAGTTAAAGTGATAACCACAAAGTAAATTGCATCTAATGTGTTCCAGCCTTCTATGTGCTTGAATATAACTGCAGGAAGGGCAACAAACAGCACGCAGCCAAACAGTATGAATATTATTGTTGAAATGATGCGAATCTTGGTCTGACTCACATTCCATTTCTGGAAAGGGAAGGGGAAAGACAGGAAACCCATTGATAATAAAACTGCACCTGTGCACATCAGTACCCATCACCTCCCAGTGTGCACTACATAGCTCTAGAGGACACTGCATTATAATTCTCAAACAAACAGGAAAATTCAAGCAGGATTTTATTCTGAAAAGGGTTTCAAAGCAAGCATGACTATCCTAGGAAACATTTGCCAGCAGTCAATGCAGAGCAGGGCTGGACTCTTCCCAGGTGAGCAGGATGTGTAGCATTCAGTAATACCAACAGCTGATGATGTAAAAGTTTTGAGGGCTTTCTATATATTCAAGCAGTGCATGCACCTGCAATTTCTCTCATTTTTTATATCCACAAATAATAAACTAAATAAGGTGAATTCTAATCATACAGTTCTCTGCAATCAAATAATTGGCTAAACCATACCTACAAAGCAGAGCTGGAAGGGATATAAGAGAGCCAAACCTGCCCAAGGACAAAATAAACCCACCTAAGCCACTGAAAATACATTAATGGCCAGGCAACCTGTGATCATACTCTTGTCATCTGATAATTTTCCTAATGCTTAACCTACATCTTAACTCCTGTTTAAGTGTACTGTTTATGGTCTTATCCAAGACAAATACAGAAATTGTTAATTTTCTCTTTCCAGCAAACTTTCACATGAGTTCTCTATCAGTTACATGTTCTTTTAACCAAATTTATTTATTTCCACTTCTTCCCCTTCCTATTTTTCTTGCAATCCCTTGGCACCAGCAAACTAGCCCATGTTTCATTAAGCATTGTACTCAAAAATTGATATGAAAAACTAGCACTAAATGGGATGGAACGAACCTTTCTTATGCGTTGCCTATTTTCCATGGCAGTATGACATTAACCCATGTTAGCATGTTAACTTCTAGAGTCCACAGAACACTTCCATAAAATTGCACCTAGACAGCTGTTTCCTGGCATGCAGCTGCATATTTTATTATATTCATATATTACTTTGTATTTGTCCTGCTTAAATTTAATCCTATCTAGTCAGACTTCTTTTCAAAAATTTTAAATCACTTTGATCCTCCAAGTTTTAGCTGTCTCCCCAGCTTGAGACCATCTGCAGATTTAATGAACCACATCATTTAGCTGTTGTGTATGCTATTAAAATTTTTCTAAACTGCACTACAGCTAGAACAGACCCCTGCAAAATTCCATTTTGCATGCCCAGCCAATTTGCCATTTTTCATCCCTCCAATGCATGTCAGTTTAACCTAAAAGAGGGGATTATACAAGAAACCTTCACAGAAATCGACTGAAAATGAAATTACGTTGTTCACAGTGGATGTTTTCTTGTTTTTAAGTTTCAGTAGGAACTGTGTTTACAGTCAGCATGACCGAGGTCGAGCTTTTGTAACCCAAATCAGAGTAATAGCTTGTGTTATGGCAACATAACACAAGCTATTACACCTGCTCTGACCCATCAGCATTTCCCAGTTCTTTAGGCAAGCTAATAACAGAATTAGAGAGTAATCCAGACTGCAACATCTAGATCAATGTTTTCACTCAGATTTTGTCAAAAGAGGGGATGATACTGCTTTTTATCTAGGGGCATTCTTCTTGTAGGGATACACCCAGAATTAAAAAAAAAGGAAAATCATTATCTCTACAAGCAAAAAAGAGGCACAAATTGATCTCAGAACTTCTATAACTATAAGAAAATAAAATCAGCTATGAAAACCCAGAAATTATAAAATGTTCTTATGGAATGTTCTTTCCTTTTTCAGACAAATCTCAATGGAAATCTATGTTATTCTCCAGTACCTAGTCTGGACATGAACTGATGTTTCAAAGCTGAAAATGCATGCCTTTTCTTAAAAAGCTTTCAAGCTTGTGTTTGCCTGTTGCATAAGACTACTTAGCACAGGCCCAAATTGCTTTGCATGAAAACCAAAGCCATGTCAGACCATTTCCATAAAGAAAAGGTGTCCTGCATGCAAGGGTAGGGCTTGATGTGGAAAACCAGTCCTAACACTTGCAGTGCTGATGCAAACAGCAACAAAGTTGGTTACTAAGCATTCATTGCTTCAAAAATTTCAGTGAATACATTTCTTATCACAATCTAGATAAAAACCTTTAAGAGTAAGCATCACAGCAAGCTTACGAGTAACAAGGACAGAGCAAAACCAAAATTCTTTGGGTCTTATTCCTCTTCCCAACCATAACAATGGTAGGGAATATGTCTTCACCTAATTCTCAGAGGTGTTCATTAGCAAGTTCAGACTGTGCCAAAGTCCTTCCTACCTTTTCATGTACATCTGATTGCAACAATGAGCCACACCCTGTTTTTCAGGCTTTTCATTTCACGTGTGAGATTCAGAACAAGCAGGAAAAGAACAAAACGAGGCAGTCAGCATACTCACAACAAAGGTATCTTCTACTTTGGCAATTCCTTTTCCAAAGATTGTCCCTAGTTGATCTCCAACACCAGCCAACAGAAAACCAAACAGAGGAATTCCCAATAAGGCATAGATGATACAGAATATCTTTCCACCTTGTGTGCGTGGGGAGATGTTTCCAAAGCCTAAATTACAAACAACTTGAGATGTTTAATAGGTTACACATCATGCATTATAAATTTTCAAAGAATTGCAGGAACAGAACAGTTAAAAACAGGCTAACCAGGTTAACCATATGACACAGCAAACATAGTGAGAAATTAAATGAAAATGTAGGTCATACAATCCTCTCTTATCATCTACTACATGTAGTTAATAGCATTTGGTTGATCTATGCCTTAGCCTGCCAGTGTCTGTCACTGGGCATTTAACAGGCTGCAGCACCTGTAAATTACACAGGTGTAAACACTACACAACACCTGTAAATGACACCATTTTCCTTCACATGGACCAAGTTTCAAAGTGAAGTGGCTTTAAAAAAAGCACAAACCACTTGGATGTGCAAAACAGGGATTTCTACCATAAATGGAACTGCCTAGATTCTTCATTATTAAAGGTTTTGGTTCCTTTGAACAAAGCTTAGTGATACAGCTCATTGCTCTGTCCATTTGAAAATGGAAATAATTTGTCTTCACAAGTTTGTGTAAAAGAGTACCCCAAATTCCTCTGACCGCTCCATTGCTGCTGGTCCACTCAGAACAGAGAAAATTAAATACAAAGAGCACAGGCCCCAGCACCTGTGGAATGCCCTCAGTACATCTCCCAGGATCAGTATTTAATGATTTGGACAAGGTCACACAGGCAGAACCCTACAGAAAAGTTTCATAAGTCCAGAGTTTCAATTCAAAAGTTTTTCTCCTCCAAAGGATCAATAATGTTTTGAGGGAGCAGTAGCATCCCAGAATTTCTGACATTATTTCACTTTTTAGCAGAACAACACACCCTTCAAAGGAGGCAAGAGGGAAAACTTGTCATAAAAAGGCTTATCTTTAGAAATTAGAAAAAAGCTTCTTTTAACATTACCTTCTTGTTAGAAAAATAACTTGCAAATAAACAGCAAAGTGTTTTGCCATGTAGCTGAGAAATTTGTCTTAATGTCTTAAATTTTTCATGAGAAAAACATCATATGCACACAAATCTCCCAAAGAAAATCCATTTTTCTGGAAATAATCTGACAAATTTTATTTTCAAAGTAGCTTAACATTTTTTTCACAACCTGACAAAATTCCTATTATATAGAGCACATTTAATGAATGTCTTAGCTATTTATCAGCATTCGTATTTAAAGATTCTGAGCATGATGGTTTAAAATGTAGATTTTTTTTTAATTAAACCTATTATCTTAATTTCTGGTTCTGCTCTCATATAGGTAAGCTACACCAAAGCTCTGTTGCTAAAACTACTTTTTCCTTTCAGAACAGACAAGACAAAACTGTCCCTCACTTAACTTGGAATGGATTGCCCAGAGAAGCTGTGGATGCCCCACCCTGGGAGTGTTCAAGACCAGGCTGGATGGAGCTCTGAGCAATGTGGTCTAGTGTAAGGTGTCCCTGCCCATGGCAGGGAAGTAAGAACTGGATAATCTTTCAGACTCCTTCCAACCCAGGCCATTTTATGATTCATTACAATAAAAATATATCACACTGGGAATATATTTTATTCCTAGATAATTCCTCTGAATTCAGTTTTCAGATTGTACTTCTGTATACAACAAATGCAATATTGATAGAATTCAGCCAGAGAAAAAAAAGCTGATATTTAAATTTTACCTAAATCTTGACTTATAAACCTTGTCAAACAACAACAACAAAAAAAGAAAAAAATCACAGGAAATATCAATTATAGGTTGCAGAGTACTACAATTTGTCAATGTTCCCTGCACTAATATATGAAAGAAAGTCTGACTCAGAAAACTGGGAAAAAGTCACAGCAACTTTAGATTAACCCAATATGCTTCCCTAAACCAGAGTCAGGGCTAAAATGATAATTCAGGAAATTTCAGCTCCACTGAGCTCACTCTGTCCCTTCATGCACCAAGGAGTAAAGTTCTAAAATAAAATTAGCTCATCACTAATCAAAAAGGGACAAACAGATCCAAGCTACTCTGTTTTCATAAACATGCCTGTTTATGCATCAACAGAAGCTTGAATTGTTCCAGGTTATAATTCCTGGGAGGTCTTAATGCAATTCCGAATCAGGGGTCTGGATACACCAGATTTAGAAAACTCATGCTAGGGGATTTGGCAGTCACGTTTTATTTACTTCTCTACAAAAGCAATGTCTTGCAATGGTGACAAAACACCAGCCCAGTGGAGCACATGCCAAGCAGGCAGTTTTGCTTGGCTGGCCCCATAAAACAAGCAGGCACTCTGTGAGCATCCCAGAGCTCTTACAGAGGCTGTTGCTCTGCAGCATGCTTCTCATCTGCTGCTAATTGGTATGAGGACACCAAGTTCACATTCAGCTCTGGGTGTTCTCCCTAAATCAGACTTGTGTCTTCCTTGAGGGAAGGATAGTAGTTCATTTTTATGCTCAAATTCTTGTTTTTTATCCTAAAAACTGCTAAATGCTTTTCTTCCATAAACACAGAAAAGGTATTGTGTGACAATTGTATTATTAAATCACACATTACTGGATAAAATAACACTCCACCAGATAGCAGTTTATTTCTGTCCAGATGCTCACTGAGCATAACACAAACCATGGGTAGGGTACATACTTTAGTGACCTGATCTACCAAGGGGTTTCCATCACACATTAATCACATTTCCTACTGTGTCATGTTTTATAACAGTCTGCTGCTGTACACCACAGCCTACTTTGAGAGTTACACAAGTTGTCCTTAAATCCTACTCTCAGTTTCTCCAGTGAAAACCTAATCCATTATTTATACATCAGGAGAAAAAATGTATTTATATTTCATATGGTTGATGTAATTCCCAAGAGGTTTGTGTCAGGAAAGTATTATTTCTTTCTTTAAATAATTATAACAAAGACAAAAAAAGAAGAATTCTCTTGCTAGGTAAAAAACAAGGAAACCTTAATTTTGGGCACTCTGCTTGGAGAAGAGAACATAGGAATGTCACTGCATATCCCTGTGTACCACAGAGCTCCTGCATGTGGAGGGCAGGAATGTCTGGCCCCAGTAGCAATGCAGTAGCTTGCTGGCATATTTTTACTTCAGTGTTCCCCGTTACACTCAAGAAGCAGCATAAAGTCTGTCTAGGACTGCCTTGTTCACAGCAAACCTTGGGGAATCAGCCATATTACAACATGGTCTGCTGGCTCTTCCCTGCCTCAGAGCTCTTTGCTTGGATGGGATGGGGACAGGATGTATCCACTGCAACTGCACAGGCAGCCTCAGTGCCTTGCTTATTCTTCACATTTTCAGCCCTGTGAAGCTCATCCCTTCCTCTCTTTCTGAGGGGGAAATTCCTAGAACCGGTCCATTCCCCACTTCAACACAATATACTTGGGTTTGATTGTGGAAATTACCAAGTTGCTTGATTTAAACTTCTAAATTCATCGGAAAGATTTCCCTCAAAGCTTTTAATCAATGCTATCTGCCATGAGCAGTACAGAGTACAAAATTTCACTTGCTAAATGGGATCTGTTTCATCCAAAATACTGTCAGTACCCTTTTCAGACTGTCCTTCCCCAATGCACCCTCCCCACTTCACTTTCACCAAATCCCTTTCATCTTCTGCTAAATTCTTAGTATGCTTTTAATGAACACAGGACTTGTCTCTGACAAGCAGCTGTGGACAAGAAATGCATTTTACAAGGAGCTTCCAGTAACCTTGAGTGAATTCTGATTCTTTGATTCTGTGTGAATTAAGAATAAAAGCCCATTGTAAGTAGATTGTAACTAATTGCTCCACTCAAACAAGTAACATATTCCAGAGTTTCAGCTCCAAACTCCTAAGAGTCTCTGAGATTCAAATAAGGTTCAAAGGAAATCAGTATCCCTTTGGTCAGCTATAGAGATGGAAGCAGGGGTATGCAAAATGAAAAGGATTAAAAAAAAAAAAAAAACCCAACCAAAAAAACCCCAAAAAACCCAAACAAAGAAATATTTTGAAGGATTCTTTACTTTCATATAATCTTTTTTGACATATTTCTGGGAGAATGAAAGCATCTGTAACTTTCCCATGAGAAGCAGATTCGCTGTTAAGCAGATATAAGTAACTTTAATAACTATATACTACTGCTTTTGAGCAAAACAATGTTTGAAGTTTCAAATTCTAGTTGAGTCTTCCCCCATGACAAACAATAGATTCTATCGCAAATATGAAAAAGCTTGAAATACTATAAATTCTCATACAATTGACATGACACTTTTGTTTGGATGGCAAGCATCCTTGTATTCAAACCTTCATAAAAAGGAAGACTGAAAACTAATTTAAATTTTTTTTCTGTTTTAACTACAGAGAGTGATTCCTTTGCTTTCTAGTTAACCAGTATCTTCAGAAAACTCTTGTGGATACACATTTTCAAAGTGGACTTAGAAATATAGAGACTCCAAATGAGCATGTTTTTTACATAAAATTCCTAGACAAAGCAGGGTATCTACTGAAACTATCTAGCTGCAGTTAAGTATTTCTCATGTGAGAGATCATAGATACTTTTGAGAATTCTAAGACTAGATTTTACTTGCTAAATTGACTGGAAGACAGCGCTACCACCTATGAGTCATTTATTTCAAGTACCTCAGGTACTTGAAAGTTCTGGGGAAGTTCTGAAACATTTTCTTTCTATACAAGGAAATGTAAATTCAAGTACAAGCAAATGTTTTCTCCATGTTTATGACAAACCTCAAATTAAACAAGGCATCATTCATGAGATATCAAAAATAAATAAAGTTTAAATTATCCTAAGTTAATGCTGTATATTTTAAGGTATGAGAAACTACTCTTAGCAGTAGGTTTGGATACACAGTCCATTGATGGAAGAGCTCAATACTGAGGATAAATCATTTGGTGAACAGGCACATTCTTAATTACACAAAAGTGGATTACAGAAAGTTGATATTGAGATTTCATAGAGTCAGAGAAAAGGCAGAGCTCCTGGCTGCTAACTCCCAGGAGGCTGGAGCCATGGGAAGCAGCTGCCATGGCCTTAGCCT